GTTCCCAGAGGTGAGCTTCTCAGCCATTTTTCATACCCAGCCAGCCCACCATACTGCCTCCTGTAAAGCTTCCAACGGCCTTGGAAACAAACCAAAACCCCAAACCCAAAACACAGGCATCCTAGACTGAAGATGGAGGGCAATTTGGCCCGTGAAGTTCCCATTAATATGCTTTCTTTGTCTTACATCCCTGGGAGTCAAGAAATCCAAGAGGAGTAGCATTGGGGAATCTGCAGAAGACCTCTTTTGTGTTTTGCCCCGCAAAGATGCTGCTATGCCACCTCAGGTAAGCCTTCTCAATGGCCTCGCATGCCCCGGAAAGCCGGACCCTGAAGAAGGCAGGCAGAAGAACAATGGGTGCGTTTGGAGCAGCGGTGGTGGTGGCGAGAGCCCAGAGCATGCCCCATGGGCTTGCCCGAAAAACAAACAAATCCATCTTTGATGAAATCCAACCAGGACAAGCTCTAGAAGGGAGGATGAAGAGCTGTGGGTCTCTCCTCAGGACAGATCAATGCCTGGAAAAGGCGAGGATGCTTAGGGAAGTTCAGGGTCAGGGACAAGGAGGGGGAGCCTCAATGAGATGACCTGACAGGACCACCGTCACCACGTGGCGTTCAAACAGACCAATGAGCCTGAGGATAATGCAGGACTGGCGACTGCTCCTTTCTCTGTGAGACACCTGGTCACCATGAGTTGCAGCCAGCTCAGCTCCAAGGATCTACGGCAATGATACCATTTTTCTTTCTTTTAAAATTTTTTTATTACATTGTTCTTATATTTGCTTGTAAATGGTTAAGGTGTTTTTAAAAAAATCAATTTATTGGGGCTCATACAATTCATCACAATACATAGATCAATAAATGGTTAAGGTTTTTATAACCAAGGCACTTTCCCCCCCGCCCTGCCTTCTAAAAACAAAACGAGCCTGACAACCTATTCTGAATCCTTCTTCTCCCTACAACCCTTCCCACCCCCACCCCACCCCCACCCTCCGGGGCCCAAAGCCTTGAGCTCTAGAAACGATTGCCCATTGAGTGGCAGCCACCCCGGGGCCCAACTCCTGGCTCCAGCAGGCAGGGGTCAGTTCATCTCAGCCTTGCCAGAGACAGACACAAGGGAGATGCACAGAGGAGCCTCTGCTCTCAATTCAACAGGGAAGTCTAAGCCAACAAGCTGGCACTAATTAAGAGTTAATGGCCTTACAATAGAGCATTGCAAGAGGATAGCGACCCTCCGGCTGCAGCGTAACTATCAAGGCATTCAGGACAGCGCCAAGACATACATTTTCAGAGTGCAATAGACACTGCTCCAGCCTTCCTCAGCCCCGCTCAGCGGAGAGAAATGAGACCTTGAGGATAGGTGGGAAAGTAGCTGCATCTTCTTGGACTGCCTCCTGCTCCTCTGGTCAACCAGCCTCAGGGTGACTTTTGGGAAAGATTTTGCTTTTCAGAAGATCTCAAAGGTTGGTGGGCCTGCGAGTCACTTGGGGTGATTAAAATGCTACTTCTCTGGGCCTCTCTCTTAGAAGGAAGGCTTTGGGCTGCTCGTGGGGTGGCCCAGGAGTCTGCATCAATCACAAGCTCCCCAGCTGCCTTTGATTCGGATGGTGGTCTTCAGACCACACCTGCAGAGATGCTGCTTTTGAAATTGCTGCAGCTTGTCCATATTTACCGAATGGAGAAGGAAGTGAGTCAAGAGTCTCTGCGTCCCATGAAAACCCTAGTCAATGATTTCCCACACTTGTATACACAGGGTTCAAGGTTGCTTCAGCAAGGTGGCCGTTCCAGATGGTCTCCTTTGGGAGTCTTGGCATTCACACAAACCCGAAGTCACTAGAAGTGAGCAAGATTCCAGGGGGCGAGGAGATAGCTAACCAGGGATCTAAAGGAAAAGAGAATGCCGGGTGCCTACTGTAGCCACTGTGACCCCTACTGCAACTCCTCAGGGGAGTCAGACTCCTGCATCTGTTAGAAAGCTGCAGGATTACAGGTCAGGAGCAGTATCTTGCCTCCTCTGGCCACCAGAACAAGAAGAAAGACCGTGCAGAATAGTCCGCCTGACAATTGAGGGCAGAAAAAAAGAAACAATTAACTTGAACCTGACCTCCTTGACGAGGATCCCGTTATACGTGGATCCATAATCAGTGCCCACGGAAGCAATAGACAAGAAATGAAACGACAACCCTGCACTGGACAAATCTGCTGTAAAAGGCCTTTTTAAAAAGGATTGCAAAGGAAAAGTGTCACTCTGAGGACTAAGTTATGCCTGACCCAACCAGGATGTTTCAGTTGCCTCATGTACTTGGGGAAGCTGGGAAGCGAGCAACGAAGCCCCACGACGACCCCATGCATTTGACCTGTGGGGCTGGCACAGAATATTGACGATACCATGACTGCCAGAAGAACCCAGACACCTCCGTGCAAGGAGTACAGCCAGACTGTGCCTTAGAAATGAGCGTGGTAGGCCGCCAGGAGGGACAAGTCTCTGAAGAGAGACACCAGGCTTGCTGCAGTAGAGGGTCAGCATAAGCCGAGGAAGACCCTCGGGGAGGCGGAAACAATGAGTTCCCACATTGCCATATTTGGGAGGAACGCCCAGGACCAGGAGGCGCTTCCTTCTGTTGTCCAGCGCGGGGCTGCGTCAGCGCCAACTAGACAGCTCCCAAGACCACCACCTTGAGCAGGTTTAAGACCTGCTAGCAGAGCTGGGGTTGGCTGCTTGGACCGCCAAGCACTGCTGCAAAAGAATGGATGTCTCCGATTATAAAAATAGATATGGTGTTTGTATGATGAATGCAAGCAGAGTTTGAAAACAGGAGAGAACCAACCCACCATATCATCTGGGAAAATGAAACTACTTGGCAAGACTTCACAACAGCCTGATTCAAAATTTCATAATGAAATTATGTCTCTGATCAAAGCTCGAATGAGCTCATGGGCTGATTTTTACCATTTGTGTTTATTCTGGTTTGCACCAAGTTGAAGCATCAGAAGTACATTAACCTATTCTTCTCTCTGGGAGTGGGCTACTGTCCCCTCATTTGGGGGGACCCTAAGTGACAGTGTGGGGCTGAAGGGGACATCTTTGATTCCTCATTGCTTACGAATGAAGTGTGTCCAACTCATTCTCGGAGATTCCCTAGGACAGCCTGTCAGAGGCTGGGGCTTCTAAACAAAGTTGCACTTAATCCCGTGATACTTGCCCTTGGGACAATAGAAGGCAGGCTCAAGACAAAGAAGGTATTTCCAGCTCTTGTCTAGGACGGGGCCTGTTTTTGCTCTAGAAATAATGTTTTTGGGTTTGTTTGTTTCAGACTCAGAGAAATAAAGATTCAGTCATCCCTCCCTCAAAGTACCTCACTCTATAACAAGTTGTTTATTTTTAAGGAATGAGCCACACCACAGGCCTGAATCCACCCTTCCTCCTGCCTAACCATTTCTTCTCTGGCCTATCCTAAGGGCACAGTGTGAGCTACTTCCTGACAACTTGAGGTACCAAAAAAAAAAAAAAAAGATAGAGCTTCTTGCTTGAAACAAGGACATCTAGAGACTTGATCTTGGCTAGTAGAGACAGAAGTAGCTGGTCGTACCACCTTCATTCCCATTTAAGACAAGAAGCACTTCTGTATTTTCATTCTTTAATTCAATAAATATTTACTGAGTCCTTACAAGGACCACTTCTCCAAGAATGTACAATACATTGTCATGTAGGGGAAGCAACTTATAAACCTGTCAATAAAACTAAATCAACTAGTAAACGATATCCTGAATAAAACAGAATAATATAAAAAATATAACTGCAGGGCAATGAGGAGAGGGCTGACTCCACAGCTAAGTGAGAAAAGACCTTTCCTAGTAAGAAGAGTTGCAGATAAAACATGGGATGCACAGTTAAATTGGAATTTCAGGTAAACAACAAATAAGTTTTTAACAGCTTTACTAGCACTTCATCTGCATGTCATACAATTCAATCATATCAAGAAGAGTTGTACAATTGTCACCATATTCAATTCTAAAATCATTTTCTTCCTTGTACTCATTGCTATTCATGTATTTTTTTATTGTGGCAAAAATATACACAAAGCATTCTCCAATCCCACAACGTCTCTATGTATAATCCAGTGTCATTGATGATACTTTTTGTGTTGCACAACTATATTGATATCCTTTTCCAAATTCTTCCACCACCATTAACATAAACAAATATTTTTTTAGTACAAGTATGTCCTGGGCAACATTTAAGATGAACTCATACTAAAAAAGAAAAACAAACACTTATTGTTCATCTGGATTTCAGATTTAACTGAGTGATTTATAGTTTTCTTTGCTAAATCTGACAATTCTACTTGTAGTTGACATTTAAGCTGAGAAGTGAATGATCAGAAGCAACCAGATAGGCAAAGGTCCAGGGAAAGAGTGATCCAGGCAGAAAGAATACAAGTGACAATGTAACCAGAGATGAGGCACAGATAAGGTCGGATGCATAGGCAAGGTTAGACATGCAGATTTCTATAGGGAGGGCAACGAGTCTCCCTCCCTCCCTTCCTTCCTTCCTTCCTTCCTTCCTTCCTTCCTCCCTCCCTCCTTCCTTCCTCCCTCTCTTCCCTTCTTTCTTTCTCAATTCATAGGGAGTTTCAAGAAAGGTGGCACCATCTGGTCCCATAGCTAGTTGCCTGCTGTACGGTCGTCACTTTCGGAAGGGCTTGTAGGACAAATTCCGAAGAGAATTAAGCTGACGCTTCTCCCATTGACCTGGGAAGACGCTTCTTTGTTAGGGGTGGCCCCAGCTAGGAGTTCAGGGTCCCCGCGTCCACCGTAACTAGGCGGTTGCTATGGAGGAGCCGCTTGGCGGTTGCTAAGGAGGAAAGGGGCGGGGGCTGTACGTCCGGAGAAGTCGCCGCGGCCGAGGCGGGGGCGGAGCCAGGAGGGCGGCGAGGTAGCCGGAAGTCGCGCCCGGAAAGCGGTGGTGCGAGCGGAAGTGACGTCGCCGGGCACACGCGGTCCCGCTTGGTTCTTGCGCGTCCCTTCGGCTGGGCCGGAGAAGTTCCGATCTCGTTGACCCAACGTAAGCCAGATTTCGAGCTCAGACCCGGCTCCGACCGAGGGTCCGCCGGCAAGATGGTGAAGCCCAAGTTCAAAGGACGGAGCACCATCAACCCCTCCACGGCCAGCACGAACCCCGGTACGAGCGGCGGCGGGGCAGCTTGAAGGAAGCGGGGAGGAGGGGAGCCGCGCCGTGGCTCGGAGGGACCTTGAGCAGGACCTTGGGAATGAGGAGGGGGAGGAGGGCGGTGTGTGGGGTGGCGTCTTCCCCCGGATGCTGACGTCTTGCCGGCCTGACAGGGCAAGGCCCAGACACCTGGGGTCAAGTTGGGCAAGCGGGCAGCCAGGCCTGGCAACCTGGGCGCCTTCGGGTCAGCCGGGCAAAGGCTGGCAAGCTCCGAGTTGGAGGGGAAAGAGCGCCGTTAAACTTGCCCTCTTGTGTGTCTGCGTTAGGTCAGGTGTTGCACACCGCGCCTCGCCACCCCACCCCCATTAGATTGTCGCCTTGGATTTGCCCCAGCTCGGGAATTTGCGACAGAAACTATGTCCACGAAAAAGTGGCGTGCGCCAACGCCGCGCGCATTTTAGCCTCCACAACACGGCTTCTGCCACCGTGGTTGTGAGGGTAAAAGAGGGTAGACTTGGCCCACGGAACCATCCCATCTAGTAAAGTGCATAGGAAACGGAAGATCGCTTCAATAAAGGTCTTGGGGGAAAGGTGTGGATCAGAAATTGGATGAGGGTCCACCTAGTGGATGGGAATCCCTTCCATTTGGATTGAGTCAATAAGAGGTTGGCTGGAAAAAGATTTTGAGGGTTTGGGGTTGTTGTTTTTTTTTGACGGGTTTTAATGCATATGAAAGGTTTTCTCTGGTTGTTAACACATCATTCCACTTTTATCGACTGGAATCTGAGCGTGTGGGGCCTCGGAAGGCCCCTGTTTTTGTTAGTTACCTTCCAGTCCATTCCTACTGGAAGTCCCCATGGATGCTGAGCAGAGCTGTTCCATAGCATTTTCTGATTTTTCGAAAGCAGGCTGTCAGGCCTTGCTTCCAATGCACCTCCGGATGGGTTCAGACTCCCAACCCTGTGCCTAGTATGTTGAGTGAATTGTGCCACTTGGGCCAGGACGCCCTTTGGAAAGCTCTGAGGGGTCATACAATTAAGAGATGGAGGAGCTTGAGGCCATATAGAGAAAGTGCCTTGTGGCCTAAGGTCTCTCTAGTTGTCTTGTCTCTTCCGCCTGCTTAACTCTACCACTTCTGGAGTAGGCAGAATTTGAAAGGCTCCTGTCCTAAAGGTAAGCTAATATTAACTTGTTGACTAACCCTCTTTAGAGTTGAGATGTAAGGCAAGAATTACTACCTATTTGACAGATTAGAGAAAAATCAAGTGTTTTTACACTTAGGTACCAAAATTGCAGCCTTCCTGGTGCTTTGTTTATACTGGACCCACAATTTTGGGTAAATGGAGACCCAGGTGTGTGACATACTGGTTCAGAGCGCAGGTGCTAGCTGACTGGCCTGGGTTCACATTCTAGCTCTGCCATAAAATAGTCAGTTGTAAGGCACATGAGCTGACTGTGCCCCAGTTTCTGGGTCTGAAGAATGAGCATAATCATCGAGCCCACTTTATAAGATGATTGTATGCTTTCAGGCAGCGGTTCTCAACCCGTGGGTTGTGACGCCTTTGGGGGTCAAACAGCCCTTTCACAGGGTCGCCTAAGACCATTGGAAAACACATATTTCCTATTGTCTTAGGAACCGTACATCCTGCATATCAGATATTTGCATGAGGATTCATAACATTAGCAAAATTACAGCTAGGAAGTAGCAACGAAAATAATTTTATGGTTGGGGGGTCACTACAACATGAGGACCTGTATTAAAGGGTCGTGGCATGTGGAAGGTTGGGAACCACTGCTTAAAGGAAACACTGCTGAGAATGTGGGCGGAGAATTCGTGCTCCAAAAAATCTGGGCTGTGATGGTTAGCAGGCCATCCTATTGAATACCAAAGACTGGGCCAGCCGTGTTTTACCATGTAGCATCAAATAACAGTAACCTTGTGAGAACGTAGGGAGCCCTGGTGGTGTAGTGGTAACACATTGGGCTGCTAGCTGGCAGGCCAGCAGTTCGAAACCACCAGCTGCTCCTCAGGAAAAAACAGGCCTTCTGCTACTGTGAAGAGATATAGTTTCAGAACTTCACAGGGACTGTTCTACGCAGTCCTATAGGATCGTGGTGAGTTGGCATCAATTCAATGGCAGTGACTTGGTTTTTGTTGGAGCTAATGCAGAGATCGTAGTCGAGGTTTTACGATCAGGTAGCCAGCCACTTGACTACCTTGGGTGAGCCAGTTAGTCCTTTGTAAGCAATGCTCTTGATGTAACTGCTGGTGCTCCCACAGTGTGCTTTCCATCTCCCCCCTCCTAGATCGAGTGCAGGGAGCAGGCGGACAAAACATGAGGGACCGCGCCACCATCCGGCGCCTGAACATGTACAGGCAGAAGGAACGCAGGTGAGCACCAGCCACTGCCAGGGGCCCCCTCGTCCCTCCCTTTGTGCCACCCTCCGAAGCTGAGTCCCATTCAGCCTTGGCTCTGCCCACCTTCTCCTTTCCCAAAGAGAAGTCATGCATTTTCAGATAGCGACGGTCAGTGTTTTCTATGGGCGTTGCTACTAGACACTGTCCCTTTTCAGTGGAGGCCTGGGTACCAGCTGTTGGGATGATGATTGTGCCGGGCAGGAGTGGGGTGGGGGAGACCCCACAAAGTTTCCTTTTCACAGCCTCAGCCCCCACCAGTAGCACAGTCTCAGCTCAGTATCCTCACAACAGAAATGGGGTTTTCTTTTTTTTAATTGTTTTATTGGGGTCGCGTATAATTCAGTACAACTCATCACAATCCATACGTCAGTTGAATCAGGCATGTTTGTACATATGTTGCCCTCATTCTTTTCTAGATGTTTACTTTCTATCGAGCCCTTGGTATCATCTCTTTTTTTTGCCCCCCTTATAGATTGTACATTGTTATTATTTTCATCTCTCACACAAACCGCTGTCACCCTTCCCCCATGTTTTCCGTTGTTCTTCCCCTGATAGAGGGGCGGTATGGTTATGTGTCAATCATTGAGATCAGTCCCCCCTTTCTTCCCCCCCCCCTTCCCCCTGGGGGTTTTCTTTTTAACAAGAAACACAGAACTGTCGTTTGAAGAGCGTGCCCTTTGAAGGCCACACTAGCGAACACGGCTTTCCGGCCCTTGGAAGCACATGGCCCCGCTGGGTTCTGCTGAGGCAGCCTCCACTGCGGAACTTGCTGAGTGTGGCACTTGATTTGCTGCTCTTAATTTGTTTGGTAATTGGATTCTTCATCCATTCTAAAAGATGTGTTTAAAACCCGAGCATCAATGAACTGAACCGGCCTTAGTCACCTACTTTGCTATACTATGCTTGTCTTAGCATGTGGAGTGGAGTGTAAGTTACCTTCGCCTTTAAATTGATTTAAACCAGCCTTCAAATAATTACCCCCCCAAAACTCAAGTATGTGCTTTTTTTTTTAAGCTAACAAACAGTAAACGGAATTTTCAACATCAGCATTATTTGTTACTCGTCTAGCAGAATCATGCTGTGCTCTGTTGCAAAAGGTTACGTGACTTTGAGGCAATCTGTTTCAGATGTAGCAGTCTTCTTTGTTTGTTTGTTTACTGAGTCTGTATTTCATGATGATTCACAACCAGAAGAAAAAGAAAAGGTCCTTTTGATGGAGAGCGATTCCCTCGACCAAACTTTGCTGTGGCCTTTCTTCTGCTCAATCTCCAACCTGTTATCTCCTCAATTTAGGAACAATCGGGGTAAAGTGATCAGGCCCCTGCAGTACCAATCCACGGTGGCTTCGGGCACCGTCGCGAGAGTGGAGCCCAATATCAAGTGGTTTGGTGAGTACCCCGGCCGCGATTTTGCTCTTCCAGAGGTGCCCCGTGGGAAAGGGTGATGTGCAAGTGTCCACATCCCCAACCCCTCATTTCTTTGATTTCCAGTTTGTTTGTTTTGGGGGCCGTTTGGGATGAGTGGGACTGACGAGGCTCCTATGAGAAAGGTAGCTGTGGAAAGGGGCCCCAAACCGCCCTCGATAGGGAGGGCTTCCTATAGAGCTCTTTTTTGAAGCGCGCTCAGCACCGCTGGTCCTAAGTAAACCCTCATGAGCAGCCGAGAGAGAGCATCCTTAGTGACCAGGTCTGTGCCTTTACCTGAAGCCCCTCTAAAACAGTTTTTCGTAATGCCCTTGTGTGCGAGCCAAGGTGGGCCCTTCCAGATAATGAGTCCTGTCTCTCCTGAGTCCCCGTGGACCCTGGCTAGCCCCTTTGGGAACTCACCTGACATTTCAGTACTGGCGTTTCTCCACTCCTTCCCCACTGCTGCATGTGGGGGCTCTTCAGGCCCTCAGTCCCTTGCTGGCCTGGGGCTCCCCATTGTGCTCAGGAGCCCTGGTGGTGCTTCGGGGTAAACATTGCACTGGCAACTGCAAGGGCAAAGGTTCAAAGCCACCAGCTGTACCGCTGGAGAAAGCTCATAAAGCTTGACACATTTCAGAAACCCCACTACACCGGGCAGCTATGAGCTGGCATCAACTCAGCAACAGCAGACCTGGGTGGCCCTTTGTTCTTGGAGACAGATAGGAAAGCCCTTTAAACATCTTTGACATCCTTCCGTGGCTGTGATGCCCGCTTGAACACTGTAACCCAGACACGCGCCCACGAAAGGCCCTCCAAGGGGCATTTGGCCTGTCGTGGACTTGGGTCCTGGCTCGACCTTCTGGGTGCCTGGGAACAAGTTAGTGATCATCTAGCCGTGCATCAGCCTGCCCCTTTCCCAAATGATCATGAAAACAGCCCTCAGCTCTCAGGGTTGCTGTAGTTTAAAAGAGTCGCTGTGTGCAAGGTGCTTAAACAGTGCTTCGCCAGATGCGTGCAGCGGACCAGGTGCCGCTGCCCTTGCCTCCCGGCAGGTGTGCTGCCGTCTCCTTGCATTCCTTCTTCAGGGATGCGTTCTCTCAGGGCCGTGTTACTGCTACCTTCTTTGTTTCCCGAGAGGCTCGGCTGCACAGAGGGGCCCCTTCAGTTCTTCTTTACCCTGAAAAGTGTCACCCCGTCTGCTTACCAAAGTTGCCGTGCTTCCAGGTCCCCAGCCAGGCCGGGCTCCAGATTCCTCCCCGAGATCTAGCCAGGAAGTAGGCCTTTAGCAAATCTCACTTCCATTTAGTGAAGGCTGGTTTTCAGTTGCATCCCGTCAGGGGAGGAGGCTCAGGAAACCAAAGAAGCCTTTGGCGTGTCTGGGTTGGTGGAGTAGTTCATGCCATACCAGTGTAGGTGAGGGAGCTGGGCACACCCCCCCCCCCACCACCACCACCTTACTGTTTCTGGTACAGTGGAAACTTATCACAAGGGTTTGTGGGGCTGGGGGCAATTTGACATCCATGTTCCGTGCATTGTGTTCACCCATTGCAAACACAGATGCAAAGTGGTTCTCTATTAAATGGCAGCGTTATTTGTCAAACAGGTAACACACGTGTGATTAAGCAGTCATCATTACAGAAGTTCCAAGAGGAAATGGATACCGTTCTGAAGGACCCGTACAAAGTCGTCATGAAGCAAAGCAAATTGCCCATGTCTCTTCTCCATGACCGGATCCGGCCTCATGTAAGCTGGAGGGTGGCCCTGTGGATGCCTTGGCTAGGTCAGACGCCACACAGACACCCCACCTACCTCCCACCCTCCGAGCAGACTTGGCTTTCATCCTGCCGGAGAGAGGGGTGGCCCGAGACCGCTGTCTGCTGGACCTGTGTTAGGACTCTCCCTTTCTGTGCCGCTCTGAGGCCGCCAGAGGTGCGCTCGGAGCTTCGTGGCTCCAGTCCAGGCTTTAAAGTTCGTTCTGCGTGTTGGTCCTTGTGCCGTGCCCCCCTTGGTTCCGTTCTCAGCCTTACCATTGCAGACCGTAAAGCAAAGTCGACCCACCTCATAGGTTTCAGTTCCACGTAGATTAAGCGTTTGTGACGCGTGCAAGGAGCTTACAGCTAAACCCACCTAGGCAAACCAAGCCTGCTACCAGTGAGTGCCTGGATTCCAACTGAGCCCCACCTTGTCGGTGTTCTGAGACGCATGGGAGAAGACAGCCCGGTCTTTTCTCCCTCAGAGCAGCAGGTGGGCGTGAAGCACCACTTAGTGGTGAGCAGCCCCGTGCCTAGCCCCAGCCCCACCAGGCTTCTCAGCACACCCCACAGTAAGAGCTGATGAAAGAGCACACAGAGAGAGAAGGCTTCAGCCCCTGGTGAGCTCTGTGGCGGTTTCCTGCCTTTTGCCAGAGCAGGTGACCCAGTCTTTTCTCGATGCTTCAGCTGGTAGTCGAGGGCAAACTGTTCTCGACACCCAGAGCCAGCTAGATACTGTTGTTGATGGACTCTGCTCATTGAAGCCGCACATGACAGTGGGACATGAGCCCATCGCGTCTGCCAGGTTGTGACCTTTGGGGCCAGATCACCAGGCCTTCGTTCCTTGGGGCATTTGGGTGGGCTCAGACCACCAGCCTTTTGATTAGCAGCCGAGCGAGCACCTTACCATTGCGCCACCAAGCCCGCTGTCGTGAGTGCATTCCAACTGAGCAGCCCTAGGGGACTCAGGGGTTCCCAGGCTGCCGTCTCTACAGGAGCAGACTGCCGCATCTTTCTCCCGTGGGGCTTTTTGGTTATTAGCTGAGCACTTTAACCGCTGTGCCTGAAGTAGGTCATCACTATTACTAGTGCAGTTTCCCCCTTTTGTTTTTATTTTTTTTAAATCATTTTGGGAGCTCGTACATTTCTTATCACAATCCATACATACATCCATTGTGTCAAGCACATATGTACATTTGTTGCCATCATCATTCTCAAGATATTTGCCTTCTACTTGAGCCCTTAATATCGGCTCCTCATTTTTCCCCCTCCCTCCCCATTCCCCCTTCCCTCATGAACCCTTCATAATTCATAAATTATTATTACTTTGTCATATATTACACTCTCCGACGTCTCCCTCCCCTGCCCTCTTCTCTGCTGTCCATCCCCCAGGGAGGAGGCTATACGTAGATTCTTGTAATTGGTTCCCCCCTTCCACCCCACATTCCCTCCACCCTTCCAGTATCGCCACTCTCACCACTGGTCCTGAAAGGGGTCATCTGTCCTGGATTCCCTGTGTTTCCAGTTGCTATCTGTACCAGTGCACATCCTCTGGTCTAGCCAGATTTGTAAGGTAGAATCCCCCTTTTATTTTGGGCAGGTGAATTTGTTGCATTAAGGGCCTTTGAGGAAATGGGGAGTTGGGCTCATGTGGACAGGATTCCCTTGGGTGCTGCGTGCACCCATAAGCTCTCACGAGGCCCTGGGAGATTTTTTCAGAAAGACTGGTTGTAGTTGCCTGAAGAACCGGGGCGGACTTGGGTGGAATGAGATTCATGCAGGCCCACCAAGTGGTGCAGCAGTGGCCTGCGTGACCTTGCTCGCGTTGAATAATAGTTCCCGGACATGTCACGAGGACAGCAGCCCTAGTCCCCGTATGAGGAGGGGGGAACACCGACAGGCAGACGTGGATTAAGCAGCTCAAAGCAGAGTTTACTGGCAGAGCAACTTAACAATAAAAGCGAGGCCTGGGCCATTGCCTCAGGTTTTGCCAAGCATGCTTTGTTTCATGAGGGGCTAGACGAATGGCCCTGCTAGGGGAACGGTCGCTTCCTTTCAGGCAAACACATGAGTCATTCATGAACCACAGACAAGTTGCATATTTCCCTTGTTCTTTTTGCTTTCCCTAAAACCCTCTTTTAGCCAATGATTGCATCTTGTTTATGGGGGGAAACAGAGGTTCTATTACGGGTTTATTGCTGGGTTGCCCCTTGGGGTTGCCCATCGCATCTCAAATCCAGTGTTTCCAGCTCCGGCAGTTCCAATGCGGAAGCACATTCAGAACACATGGTGTGTTGTCTGTTGGGGCCTGGAAATGCCTTACTGATATTCCTGTCCTGCGGTCCGGCTCGCCCCTAGGACCCTGTCTGCACAGTGGCGTGATCAGACGTGCTGCTGACTGTAGCGCATGCTCTCCGGCACACCGGTAGTCGGTGCCCTTCTGCAGCATACGCACAGCGCTCTGGTTGTCAGGCGTCCTTGTCCAGATGAGCCCGTAGAGTGAGGTGTGCAGACCACAGGCACTGTGTTCTAGGTACCTTGGGCAACTTTCAGGGGGAGTTTGGAACATGCTCGATTTTAGAAGCTAATTCCTTTGTCAAGTTGGCATCCTTTGTTTGGGGAAATCCTCTAGCTGGTAGGTAGGAAGTAAAACAAAACAGGTATTGGAGGCTCAGAGAGGACAATAAGAACTTGGGGGGCTGTGAATTGCAGAAGCGGATGGGGTGGGGAGCTCCCTCATCCTGTTTAGTAGCTGGTGTTGACCAAGGGGCTTCAGGAGAGGGGCCAAGAAGGACCTCTTGGAGGCCCACCTTCTGTAAGATGAGAGCACCTAGCGCGGACTGGGACTGTTACCCTGCTGCCAACATTCCTATGCCTGCGACTCCTTTACTGGCACTTCAAGTTCAAGTGAGGATCTGGTTCCTTTTATCACATCTAAACTTTGATTTTGGACCTTTGCTAGATGTTTTTCCTCCACAACCTCTCTCCATGTGCGTTTAATAAAACAACGTTACCTAAATTAGGGAGAATGTTATCTGAGACTAAAATGCATCTTACAAAACAAGCAATTCCTTTTAGCCATAAAAGAAGTGAACTTCCAAGAAAAAGTTGGCATTTACACTTGGTTTCAAAAAAAAACACAAATCTGAGTATGATGGTCCTTGACAAAATCTGTGAATTTGGCGAATTCTACGCACTTGTTTGAAAGCTCAAAAGGGTGATCAGAAGAGATAAGTTCATTTGCATCGTTGCGCGGCCTAATTGCATTTGACCGGAGTTTGTGATAAACGAAATAAAGCCGGGTTTTTGGCAAGTCGCATGCAACCATTCCTATTTGCTGTGTTGATTTGTATTAGTTGGGTATTGCTCTGAGGAAGCGGAGAGAACTCTAGAATGAGGGGAACAACTGTGGCAGGCGCCTTGTAAAGAAGCTGTTCTGATCTGAAACTGAGCGGCATCTGTGTTTTTCTAGGTTTGGGGATGGATTGTACTGGGGGGGTCGGGGGCGGGAAGAGATAGCATTGCCAGGTGGTGTCACTTCCCGGTTTACGACTCCCACTGCTTGCCTTACTTTACCTAGATGTCTCCTTCCTTTCCAGAATGCCAAAGTGCACATTCTTGATACTGAAAGTTTTGAAACGACATTTGGCCCCAAGTCTCAGAGGAAACGACCAAATTTATTTGCCAGTGATGTGCAGTCTCTTCTGGAAAACGCTGAGACGTCCACTGAGAGCTACGATCAGGGCAAGGACCGCGACTTGGTGACGGAGGACACTGGTGTGAGGTACGGTGGGGTCTCGCCGTTCGCCCTCCAGCCCCGATGTGCGGCATGTGCTTTGCACGGGTCTCTGCAAGTTAGCACTTTGCACTGGGAACGTCGGACCGCTCAGCCCAGACTGCAAATCATTTGGGCTGGTTTGCTTGCCACTTGCTCTTAAGGGGAGCCTTTCGCAGCTCTGTCTCTGCGTTCCCAATGTGAGAAAGAACGGTAATGTTTTCTTCACGAGGAAACATACAGGCAGCCCCTGGCTTGTGCGAATCAGACTCATCATGTATAGTCCCGACTTGGAAACCAGCCCCAGTGAAGCCTGTTCACAGTCCGACAGACATACACTATACACTGGTTCCTAAGAACAAGCAGGTGGGGCTACTTTGTGACACCAACTCAGGGCGTCCGTACCTGGAGCTCTTAGTACTAGTAAGGGTTCTTAAACGTTGAGGTTTCTGTGCCCTCTGACGGTAATCCGAGAGTTTTGTGTCTGCATAAAGGTGGTGGGTGGTTGGTGGTCTTTTTGTTTTGAACTGTTTGCGGGGGTGGTGGGGAGAGGAAGATAACTTTGAGCTTGCTCAGAGGGCCCCACACCCATCAGAAGCTGAGGACAGTCTCAGGGGTCTTTCCCTCTACCCCATCCATAGTATGCTCATTTTCCCCACCAATATAAGGCCTTCTAATTTCACACTTCTCTTAAATTGTTCAGAATCTGTTAGCAGGTCAGTAAATAATCACAACAGTCTCTTGTTTAATGTCAGTAATATTTCTTTGTAGCCATTTCCATTGTGGGTCACTTATGCTGTTTACAGATACATAATATCAGGGTGAAATGTCCTTACAGGAGAGAAGACAACGTGAAAGGATATACCTTTTTTGTTCTCTCTCTTCCTTCCAAATAGCAATGTTTATTTATTCTTCCTCAATGCAGTGTAAAGCTAGGATATGCTTTTGGACAAGTAGCCACAGGTTGTCCTCCAAACCATTCCCCGCGCCTTCAAGACTGTGAATCTTTACAAGAATAGACAGCCTCATCTTTTTCCTGCAGAGCAACTGGTGGGTTGGAACTGTCCACGGTGAGGTTAGCAGCTGATGTCTAACCCAGTGGTTTTCAGCCTTCCTAATGCCGCGACCCTTTAATACAGTTCCTCATGTTGTGGTGGCCCCTAATCCATAAAATTATTTTTGTTGCTACTTCATAACTAATTCTGCTACTGTTATACATCAGGTGACCCCTGTAAAAGGGTTGTTTGACCCCCAAAGGGGTCACGGCCCACAGGTTGAGAACCACTGGTGTAACCCATAGTGCCATGTAGACTTCTTATGTTTTCCTTCAAACCAAAAACCAGCCCTTCCGCTGCCATTAGTTCTTTTCGCATTGTAGTGGCCCTATAGAGGTTGTCCAGGGCTTCAGCAGGAGTTAAATCCACTTAGATTTTCCTCGTTGAGTTAAAGGGTCCCAGTGCTCCTCAGTGATCTCCGAAAGGAACCTAGGCTTTGCCGTCTCAGTGAAGAGGCGCAGGCATGATCCATCGACACGTGGCTGTGTGACCTCCTTACTGTTGTCTGCTCATCTCAAGCCCTGGCCTCAAAGAGCGTCTAGCCGTTGGACAGCTGTCCAAGCAAAAGCGCAGCAAGTTCCCTTATCCTTAAAACTTTTTGAATTGTTTGGACTTGCTCGTTGACTTTTCAACCTGCTGACTTGAATTTTTCGCTCCTCCAAAAGCTATAGTCTATAGTAAGGAGTGGGGGAAACAAAGCATTTTTGTTGCATTTATGCTTGATTAGATGCCTTTGAGGCCAGTAAATAAACGGATTCTAACCCTCATCAGAACAATTTCACCTAACTTCGTGTGGGAGCGGTGTAGTATCCCAAAAAACCTCACTGCCATCGGGTGGATGCTGACTCGCACAGACCCGGTAGGACAGAGTAGATCTGCCCCGGGGTTCTGAGCCTGCACCTCTGTGCGGGAGCTGACGGCAGCCTTCCTCTTGCTCCCGCTGACCACCTGGTGGTTCCAAGCCGCGTGCAGCCCCACGTGGCACACTGCACCACCAGCGCAGTGTAGATTATGGCTCCAGGAGTGAAAACCAGGGCCGGCCACCCCGCGTGTGAGAGTGGAAGTGCTCCAGGGGCTCTTCTTGGCTGTCATCTTGATGGAAACATCACCAGGCCTTTCTTGCGCAGCGTTGAACCATTGACCGTGAGGCTAGTGGTTGAGCGCAATCGTTTGCCACCACCCAGCAGCCAAGATTATGAATCAGGTCCTACCATTTCCACTCCACAGTTGTCTGCGACTCAGGGTCACGTTACAGGTCAGTCGGTTTGTGTCCATGTCATGGCTGACCATTTTGGGATTAGCCTTTCCTTCGCTGCATGGGTGACTTTTCCCTCAGGTATCCTCTGAATCTCCTGCGTGTTTCCGTTACTCATTTGGGGTGCTTTCTTACTTAGAAACGAAGCCCAAGAAGAGATCTATAAAAAGGGACAATCCAAAAGAATTTGGGGTGAGCTCTACAAGGTAAGATCCGCCTGTTCTCTCGCTGAGGGAGTGCTCCTTTGCCTCTCACGGTCCTGTGTCAGAAAGCAGGTCTTGCTTTGTTGAAGCTCTGTCCGCCCATCTCATCCCTGTGCCCCGCAAAAGAAACCAGGGTTACCGCAGCCGTATGCATTCTGTGGAGGTGCCAGGTGACTGCATTTTAAAAATACCTTGTGTCAGTAAAGCAGCCTGTTATAGACTCAAAGTTCCTTGTTGATATTTCTTTAGAGTACCTACTGAAATGACACTCCAGTTTAGATGCCGAAATCAAACCCAGCTCACTGTCCCCAAGTCCCTTCCAACTCTGCAGCCTAGAGAAAGCACAGCTGCCCCTGTGCTTTTCGGAGCCTTCGCATCTTGATGAGCGCAGAGAGCCGTAGCGTTCTCCCTTGGAGACCCTGGGCGGCTCACACTGCTGACTTTGCTATAAGAGCTCAATGCGCGGCCCACGACGCCACCAGAGTTCCTGTATATAGACGTGCATGTGCTGAACACCACACGAAGTTAGTGTCCGGCCCTCTGATTTCATCCATGAGAAAACATGTCTGGAAAGGTTGACCACCTTCCCTCAGGCCCCCTGACACATGCACACACCCAGCCTGTCTGTGGGAGAGCCTTTGTGTACCATGAGCTCTGATCTAGTGACCTTTAACTGGCTAAACTTAATGTCCACGTGCCAGTACTGTTCTTGGGGTCACAGACATTCAAGCAATATAATTAGACACAATAAAGGAAACTAGAATCATGAAGACGAACAAAATGTGTTTTCTGTAAAACAGTCTGTAACAATGGACACTCTGAGGAGTTTGGGAAGTCGATGATTCCCTGGAATAGTGCACAGCAGTCTGGAAGGTGAGGCGGATGTCACCTAAGCCAGCTTGTCTGCCTGAGGTGTGACACCTTTCCAAGACCCACCAGCCGAAACGTCAACTCTGCACACGGGCCTTGAGCTCGGCCGCCACAGACTCGTCCTCAGGAGGTTGTGGTGCAGCCACCTCGCGCGTCCTCATCTCCCCTGTTTCCCTGAAAGCTGCTCCCGTCTCATCGTGTCTGCGTCTGGCAGCCAGCCATTACTGACGCTCTGAATTTGCAGGTGATCGACTCGTCAGATGTTGTAGTTCAAGTTCTCGACGCCAGAGATCCAATGGGGACCCGCTCCCCTCACATCGAGACATACTTGAAAAAAGAAAAACCCTGGAAGCACCTCATCTTTGTTCTTAACAAATGTGACTTAGTTCCGACCTGGGCAACGGTAAGTCCAGCCCGGGCACCGAGGCCACTGACTCGAGGCCACGTGACTAGCACCGGCTCCGCATCCTCGGTGCCCACATCTGTTTCACGGTTTCTAGGATCTGGGGCATTCGCCAGAGTGCTTCCTCCTTGAGACAGCTTTGAGTCGCTGGCGTGTTCTCATTGAAAACAGAATTCCAGTGTGCTTCCTTGATGCCGGGACGGGAAAGGGGACAGCTTTGATCCACTGGCAGTTTGTAACAGAACAGCTGCTGTGTCCCCAAAGGATGGATGACAATGTGTCTCCTTCAGAGAGAGACAGCTGCCATAACCACTGACTGGCCTGTTTTATATTATGCAAAAATAATTGCATTTTGCTCACAACGAAGGCATTGTTGGAATATTGTTGTGCATTTATAGAACAAAAACGTTTATGAAACAAAAACTGCCGTACTTGGAAAAACAGTTCAAAGAATGCTAGCCAGTTAACATTTTCCCGAAACAACTGTATGTTTGCAGGGCAATCCAAGCTTCGGTTCCTCTCTGCCCTGTAAACAAACCTGCTGCTAATCAGCGGCCTCTCCTCTGTTTGCCTTTAGAGACGCTGGGTTGCCATCCTCTCTCGGGATTATCCGACACTGGCTTTCCACGCGAGTCTCACGAACCCCTTTGGCAAAGGAGCGTTTATCCAGCTTCTCCGGCAGTTTGGAAAGGTGCTGAACCTGCCCTCTTTGTCCGAGGCCCAGCAGACGGGGCTGCAGGAGACCCCCGCTCCTCGCTGTGTGCCCCAAGGTGACCAGGAACGATGCCCTCTAGAGACGGAGCAACCCGAGAGGATGCGGAAGTGCTTCGCAGCGCTAACATCTGCTCCAGCATCCGCTTCCCACCTGTCATGTTCCTGGCACCTGAGGGCCCCTGCCCTGCCCGAGGCTGCACACCCCCACCCTTCCCCTGCCTTTTCAAAGCCCCCTGTGCTCCCCTGCCCCAGAGCGCTGTCGGGCGTCAGTTCCTCAGGCAAGCCCGGTGCCTGTCATTCGGTATTTGGGGGTTATTTGAGTCATTCTCCATGGCTTCTAGCAAAAAAGACCCAGGTCCTTGACCCCGCTTCCCAGAAGCAGGCGCTGTCAACGCCCTCTCCCTTCTGTTGTTTCCTCCGCGTGTCTAACGGGTGCTTGTGGTTCTGGCTCTCTTAGCGCCCCATTTCTGGGGTGCATTAAGTTCCTGCTGTGGAAGATGAAGCGCTGACTTTCTTACAGGCCTCCCTCCCTCCACACCTACTTCCTGCTCCTCTGGGCTCCCACTTCCATTTATATCCCAATGTTTGGTTCAACCATTGTTACACTTGGTGTTTCGGTTGCTATGGCAGAGTAAAGGGCTAGTCACAGCTAGGCCACCCAGGGTGCCATCGTGAAAATTCTTGTCACCTAAGCCATGGTGCATATGCGTCTGGCTGCGGTCTGCAAGGCTGGCAGTTCAAAACCACCAGCTGCTCCTTGGGTGGAACATAAACAGTTACAGTCTCGGAAAACCCTACCTATAGGGTCGCCATGAGTCAGCACGGACTCCGTGGCAGTGGGTTTGGTTTGCCTGGAAACCTTTTATTTTCTCAACTACAGTTTGTTCTATTGTAGTTGTATCTGTCACTAATGTGTATCTCCACCCTGGTCCCTACACCCATTCTCTGGCTGAGTAGGAATTTCCAGAATATTCAGGTGAGCAGGCCATCTGTTTCAGGAGTGGCGCATGGCCCTGTCCTTCCAGTCTGGACCTGCTGCAGTGTCCTCTGTCGGGGACTCCCTGCCCCGGCACCCAGGAATGCCCACAGCTGACCCCTAGGATGGGACCTTGCTTGTTGGCTCCCTTCTGGAGCTCTTTATTCACCTGCTCCTTCCTTATCGTGGAAGACACTTCTCAGAAGCTGAAAATAACCTTTGTCTTGCCCTCCCACCAAGCACAGAAGTACCTTGGCCAGGTGTCACATTTCAGGCAGGAAATCCCTATTTCTCAGAATGCTGACAGCACCGCTGCCCTGGCGTGTGGCGCAGCCGCTGAGCAGGCCCCAGTCCGTGGACTCGGCTCCCTTGGCCAGATCTTTCATTTTTGTAAATTTCCATTCTGAATGTTCCCATGGTGCACTTCGTGTTGTTAAGTGAGCGGGGCACAGCTGCCCCCGCCCGCACCCTCCTCAGGAGTCAGGCGTGCTCCTTCTCTAGGTCAGTGTGTCCTGTTCGGTTCTGCCCGCCGGCCATGCCCGTCACGGCCCTCCGGCTGCTCCATCCCAACAGGTCGTTTTCCTGTCCCTTTGAACTGCCACTTTCTGGGAGCTCTTGTTTGACTCTGTTGGGTTTCCACACCACCACCACCACCACCCTCAACTCTCTCTCTCTCTCTCTCATCCTGTTGTGAGTGGATGCTGCTTGCTCTCTGGCTGTTGGAGAATATTTCCGAGAGGGATGTTCCGAAATTCTCCCTGTCCTGTCATTGGCTTTGCTGCCTCCAGCTCTCTCCTGTGTGTTGTGCTGTTTTTCTCGTACAGCCTCACTCTGCTGTGGGGCTGCTCTTGGCTTGCTGTAAGCATGGGGCGGGCTTGCTGCCCAATGGACTTCACCGCAGGGTGGCTCCATCAGTGTCTGTCAGTCATCCTGGTATTGGGGCCCAGTGGTCCTCCCCAGCAAGGAATCTCCCAGCCAGCAGCACTGGGAGCACCCGAGCCCAGTCCCAGGGGCCTGGGCCCTTGGGAGTAAGAGGCTGGGAACTGCTGCCTTCGGCTGCTGTTCCTCTCGATCTTGGGCCCTTTGGAGCCGTGTTAGGTTTCCAAAAACACTCCCCGGTCGTCCTTAGGAAGGCGTGCTGCATGAACAGGAGGAGGCCCCAGGACCCAGTTCTGCTTTTCTCCCCAGGGGAGAGGCTGTGTGCCTGGGCGGGAGGGGAGGCAGGGGTGTTGGCGCTGTTTACAGGGACTTCCAGCCCAGCCTCCTGCGCTCAGCCCTACCCTCACAGGTTTCTGGGACCCCCAAGTCCTGAGGCTTTTGGCAATTTGTCGGCATGATCTTTCTGAGTCTTTCTGTCTCAGCCATTTATCTCTCGTGCTTCGAAGTAGGTGAAGTCAGATAAAAGCTTCTGGCATTTTGTCCACCACACTCATCCACTGTGTCCTGTCCAGCTCCTCCTTTGACGCATGGCTTCGTGTGTGTCGGTCCTCACTGCTGTCACTCGGTCAGCCGTCTCTCATCAGAAGGGCCCGGCATGGATTTACAGGCATTCTTGGTAACTCCTGGAGACGCTCCCCCAGTCTCTAGCTGGTGAGGCTGCTCTCTCCACCCCTTGTTTACTCTTGTGAGTAAACACGTTAAATGTATTGTGCAAAAACAAGGGGAAGTCATAATAGTTGGTAAATCTCTGAAGATTCTCTTCCCGGTGACATTTTACCAGTGGACGGTGGTGTTCTGAATTGATGACTAATGAGCTCTTTGTTTCTCGACCCACATACTTTCAACCTTAAGACACTCATCTCTAATTTCACATGATGCTCAAGGAAATGACTCACCTCTGCTTTATTAATAATGCTGTGGGTCCAGCTCCCTCAGACTCCATAGGTGGCGTGTGTCTCAGCTCCAAATCAAGTTGTGGCCTCCGTCTTACCTCTCCACTGTTAGCAACGGGTAAGGCAGCCCGTATTGTCCCCGGGGTCACTCACAACTGCATGGGAACTGTGCATTGTTTTGTTGTTGTTTTCCCCACCAGTTACACACTGACAAGAAACAGATCAGCGTCGGGTTCATCGGCTATCCAAATGTTGGCAAGAGCTCTGTGATAAATACATTGCGTTCCAAGAAGGTTTGCAACGTGGCCCCCATTGCAGGTGAAACCAAGGTACGTCTGGCTTGAGAGGGGGGTCTGGCCACAGAGGACAGTGGGTTAGGGCCTGGGAGGGTCAGCCTTGCTGCTCTTGATCAGAGGCCGCCGCTGGAGGTTGGTTTGCCACCTCCTGGTTTGGAGTGTCCCAGAATTGTTTCTGCCCGCCTTGGTGGGCGCAAGGGGAACAGTGCCAGAGTGTGCTTTCATCAGTGCTCTCCCTGCGGAAGCCTGTCTTCAGTGGTTGTGGCTCCGATCTTTTACTTGAGTCTCAAACAAAACTAACACCAGGGCAATGTGTTGCCTGGGTCAGTTGGAAAACTCTGCCTTCCGGTGGATTCTGACCATGGGAGCCTTGCCCCAGGACCACAGTATCTGCTTGAAGGACGGGTGGCCAGGCCAGATTGCGTGTTAGTTTCTAAGAATCGTTTTAAAGCTCAGAAAGGTTTGTAGGATATTCTTGCTCAATGCAAGTTGGAAATCCAGCCTCGGCGTTATTATCACCCCTCGCCGCTGGGAACTCTCGTTGGTGCTTGACGGTAGTGTCTCAGGCTGGCACAGAGAGAAGAGTGGGTTAGTAGCTCAGTCAGCAGGTTGCTTTTCTGTGCCCTCCCTCCACCCCCACCCCCTTTCTGGATCTGTGTGAGAACAAGGTGGCTGGGAGCAGGGCCATGAACTTGGGTGCTTCCGTAGGGAATGAAAGGAAGTCTCTTGTCTCCAGGTCTGGCAGTACATTACGTTGATGCGTCGGATCTTCCTGATCGATTGTCCAGGTGTGGTGTACCCCTCTGAGGACTCGGAGACAGACATTGTGCTGAAGGGAGTGGTGAGTATCAGGGTCCTGGCAGGCCCTCTCTCTGCCGCTAGGTGAAGCCTGGATCCCTTTGCTTTTTTCTCATTCAAAAGGCGGGGCGGGGGGTGGGGAGGGTGGCAGCCTGTCCGCCCTGCACAGGGCGGCCTTGCTCCCCCACTGAGGGCTGTGCGAGGGGCTGGTGGAGCCACGGGCAGGTCTGGTCAGTGTCACCCCACAAAAGAGTTTTTCGTTTACAGACAGGATCCAAAGGGAAGCAAGGCCTGTTTATGTTTAGTGATAATTCATCTCCATGGGTTTATGGGCTGAGTCATTCTGGAACCCGGTCATTTCCTCACTTCGCTGCTGAATGCGACCAAGGCTTTTTTAGATGGTTCCACTTAACTTTAAACCAGTGCTTCTGGCTATGCGAACTGTGCACCTCCCTCCCCACTCTCACACGATCCCATTCTCTCGGGCCCTGGCATCAGTCGGCGCTTTCCCGTTTCTGCCAGGGGCCCCGGGAGCGTTTCAAGTGTGCGTTGCTGGCGGAAGCCACACAGTTAGTTCGTGGTGAGTTGGGATTAGAGCTGTGTCCCGGGCCCCACTGCTGTGGCTGGCCACCTTGGAGATGGCTCCCGCCAGGCTCCGCCTGCCCATGGTGGTGAAATCTGTTTTCCAGTGGGGTTCCTGAGGACAGTGGGGACATCGCTGCTGCCATTACCAAGGAGTAAGGTAAGCAGGGCATTTCCTATCGCCATCCAGGTTCAAGTTGAAAAAATTAAGTCTCCCGAAGACCACATTGGTGCCGTACTTGAACGCGCAAAGCCAGAGTACATCAGCAAGACGTACAAGATTGATTCTTGGGAGCATGCCGAGGACTTCCTGGAGAAGCTGGCCTTCCGGACCGGGAAGCTGTTAAAGGTGAGCCTCTCTTGGGCAGCAGGTGTTCGGCAGGGACCCCTCTTCGTGCCTTCCGAGTGCAGTGTGGAAATGTCCCGCAGGGGGTGGTGAACGGCTCCTGCCTCTGAAATGCCTTCCAGCTGGGAGCTGGCCGGTAATGTTGTTTTTCTCTGAATTTAATTGGGGGCTCTGTGTGGCACTTCAGGGCGGCGAGCCGGACTTGCAGACCGTGGGGAAGATGGTCCTCAATGACTGGCAGAGGGGCCGGATCCCCTTCTTTGTCAAGCCGCCCAATGCAGAACCCTCGGCCGCCCCACAGGTGAGAAGATGGTTCTCAGATACTGAGTCCCCTCTTGGGAAGCCTGGGGTCCTCTGCCTGCCTCCCTTGATGGAGCCTCCTCTCCGTGCCTGATAGCGGGAAGGAAGCTGTCTGCCTCTCACTCCCGCGACCTCTGCAGGGATAGGAAACCCACATTAGTACCAGTCTTGGGGGAATTACCCCGAGGGATCCGTAAGGACTCCTGCTACCTGAATCTTGTCCCAGGCACAAAGAAAGAAGACTTCTCAGAGCCTTGTGTAACTGGCATAGATTAGGGTCGCAGCGTGCCGGGCACGGGCAGAGGAGCAGATCGCATCGCCGTGCCTCCAGAAGCTTGCCATCATGGCAGCAGGTGCTCAGGGAAGGAGTCTTCGAGTTGGGCCTCCTGGGCACAGGTGGGACGCTGCTCTCGTCCAGTTCTCTGAGCCGGCCAGCAGGCCCCCTCTTCGTCCCGTGGTTAGGAACACTGGTGTGCAGTGGTTATGCGTTGCCATGCTACCTGCAAGGTCAGCAGTGTGAGACCACCAGCCGCTCCTGGGGAGGGAGACGGGCCTTTCTCCCCCGTAAAGAGTTACCGTCTCAGCAACTCCCAGTGGCGGTTCTCGGGTCTCCATGAGTCCACGTGCCAGTGGGTTGATTTTGTTAATGTGCCAGGTGTCACTTCTGGCTCACAGGGAACCTGGGTACAACAGAAGGAGACCACCCACCCCATCCTGCGACATCCTCTCGGGTTCTGTGTGAGCCCGTTGCTGTAGCCCCTGGTCGGTCCATCTCGCCAAGGGCTTTCCTCCTCCTCCCTGTCCCTTTGCTTTCCCAAGCACGCTGCCCTTCTCCAGAGCCCGGTCTCTCTTGACAACAGGTCCAAAGTATGTGAGCGGTCTCACCATCCTTGCCTCTGAGGGGCGCTGTGAGGAACGAAGGCCTTGACAACTTCTCCGTTGACCACGAGCACCTGCTTGGTCGTAATCCATGCTCGGGGCTGTGCTCCTTCATCTCCAGCAGCAGGCGCTACAGGTCCTCCTCATTTTGAGTGGGCAAGCTTGCGTATCGTAGGCTGAGAGTGAGCCTTTGCTCCGTCCCGGTTCGGGCTCTTCTTCATATAATCCAGCTTTGCTGGTGAGTGGTCAGAGGCTACAACGCAGACGCACACCACCCTTGATTTTAAGCTGCGAAGTGTTCCCTCGTGTGCACCACTGCCTTTCGATCCGTGTCCCTAAACAGGGCACACCTGTTCCTCCTTAGTCCGGAAGCCCCGCTGAAATGGGTGTCCCTTGAAGGACGAGTGACCTGGCTTCGTCATCACAGCAACACAGCCACCGCAGGACCAACAACTGACAGGCTCCTTCTTCAGCAGCTCGGCCTGTCTGTTTCCAGGCCGTCTTCAGAGAGGGCCTGGAGAGGTGCTGGGGCTCACGTCTGCACGGTTGTCTTTGGCGTTCCTGTGGCCGGTTACCTTCTTCCTTGACCCCCATTCCCAGAGCTCTGCTGTCAGCAGATCAGTAGTCGTACGGGACACTTGCTCCAGTGTTCCAGAACCAGCCTTCCATGCCCCATTCCGTGGCACACAGTCAGTAAGCATCTGTCGAGCATCTGCCAAGTGCCAGGTCCTCTGTCTGGTCCCGAAGGCACCCCTCTGGCCTTGTCTTTCAGCCTCAGGGCAGCACACAAGCCACCACAGTGCAACCAACTGACAGGTGGTGGGCCCACCACTGACACGCCTGAAGAAGGCCAGGCGGCCTGAGGGCTGTGACGAGACAGGGCAGTGCTTTTGTGTGCAGGCAGGTCGGGGAACTGACCTTGGAGCAGAGGCCTAATGACGAGCATTCCAGGCGGAGGACCAGCACGCCCTGCGCGGGTCTCAGAACGGAGGGAGCAGGGCTGGAGTCTGGAGGGCCACGGGGAGCGTGGTGCCACGGGGAGCCTTGGAGGGTGTGTGTGGGTGAGGCGTCTGCCATCCTCTTCAAGGGTCTTTCTGGAAGTGTCCGTCACTGCTCTCTGATGACCTGTGCGGCAGTAGTGGGGTTGTCTTTAACCCTTAACAACTATGGTGTGTGTGTGTCCCTGTGTCCTTCAGTTAGAAGCCTCTGAGAACCTGAGCCCTAAAAATTACCTCACCAGAAAAAAGTTGAGCTGTCCATCCACCTTCTCCATCCAGCTCCCTGGGTGGGTTCTTGACGTAGGTCACGCTTTCTGTGACCACTGGTCACCCAGGGGAATCTCGAGTCCTGTGAGAGTCTCCGCCGCACAGATGACACTGGTGCATGTGCAGTGCCCATGGGAAGCCTGGCACGGGCTGGCCCTGGCACCGTTCCCAACAGCGGCCCCCTCTTCAGAGTGCCCACCTCCGAGTGCTCCGTCTCCCTCTTCCCTCAGCAAGCCGCCTGGCCTTTGGCATTGTGCCCTTCCCGTCCGCCAGCCCTGGGACGAGGAAACGACACTCGTGCCCCTGTTCCCTACAACACGCGGTGAAGGTGCAGCGGGTCTACCTGGCTACAGTCACTGCAATTGGTTTTAATGGCCAAATGCTCCTGGGAGGGTCTCCCTCTTTGGGACAGTGGATACGTTCGTTCTGTAGTCTCTGAACACGGGACTAGGTCATGAACTTTGACCAACTTCCTGGTAGGGAGCTTCCCTTGGCCCTAGGAAGAGGGCTTGGATTGAAACGCAATGCTGGTTTTCATTTTCTCATTTTGCGTGTCTCTCCCCTCTTCCCTCCTTCCACAGGCTGCCTCCTCCTCCCCTTCCTCATGTCTGGAAGCTGCCACAGAAACGGCTCCACACAGCCTGGAAGAGGAGCCGCCGGCCCCCGTCGGGGAGGTGTCGGCCTGTGTCCTGGAGAAGGACAGAGGGGAGGGCGAGGACGGCCCTCGGGACGGCAGCTGGGCGATGCAGCAGATCCTGGCGCGCGTCCGGCAGAACTTCGGCAGGATCAACGTGGCGCCTGAGTTTTCCGGGGACGACCTGGTTCCCGTGGAGGTGTCGGACAGCGAGGAGGAGCCTGAGAGCTGCTCGGCGGGGGAGGAGGAGGGGGCGGAGCAGGAGTCGCCAGGGGACGAGGAGGAAGAGACTTGCCAGGAGTCCCAGGAAGAGCCAATGGAACACGACAGCAGAGCCGTTCTCCAAGCCTTGGACGAAAAGATCGCCAGATACCAGAGGTTCCTCAGCAAAGCCCAAGCTAAGAGGTTTTCAGCCATCAGGTAGCGCTTCCCTTTCTTTTTGTTTGATGTTCGCGAGTTGCCTGTGTTCCTTTCCCTCCAGCGAGCAGAGGGTGTGGGTGTGGGTGTGCCGATTCCATGTCGCGGCAGGACAGGAGCACTGCCCCTCTCGACCACAGAGCAGTTGAGAATCCCACCCCCGGCCCTCCCTTTCACTGAGCAGCCGCGTGCTTACGCACTCCAGCCCGAGAGCTCGTGGGGCCGGCCGTCTTTGCCGGCAGCCTTCCTGCAGGAGAATGAATCGTGTGTCTTTGGAAAGCACGCTGCAGGCTGCAGTACGCGGGCCTGCAGAAAGCGCAGGGGAGATGGAGCAGGAAGCGAGCGAATTGTCCCACAAACTCCTTGGAGCCACTTTTGGTTGTTTTTTTTTTAATGCTCCAGGAGCTATAGACACTGGGGGGTGGGGGTGGGGGGATCTTTCAGGGGTGGGGAGAGATGCATGAGCAGGGGCATCTGGTGCTGTTGCTTGTGCCCACATCACGTGAGCCGGGCACTTGTTAGGCGCGTTCTTTACTCTGCTTTTCCTTTGTAGAATACCCAAGGGGCTGAGCGAAAAGGTCTTTGCCAAATCTGAAGAGCCAGAAGATGCAGAAGATAAAGGTACCGTGAATGATCGAAAGCACCTGCATCTTGAGAGCTTCGAAAACCTGCGCGCCCCTGTATGACCCCAGCACTCCCCCGTCCACACGGACTGTTCCCCTACAGGCTGCTTCCCCCATCGCCCGGGCACCCGCGGGTTTCAGTGGCCCCTTGTCTGTCTGCATGTTCCTGGAGTGGATGTCCGTTCAAGGTGGCATCCTCTCCTCGGGGGTCTCCTTGTGAGCCTCACATTCCCAGGACGGGTCCGAACCACGCGTTTCCCTTTCTTTCCTGGGTGTGTTTCTAGCACCGTCCAAGAAGGGGAAGAAGAGAAAGGCGCCAGGAGAAGAGGCGCATGGAAGTAAAACTCGCAGGACGCTCACGTCCAAGGAGGTGCGTGTTTGGGCTCTCTGTCTGGCTTAGTGGGGAACGCAGAGCTTTTGGGGTGAGCGTTCCAGAACTGAACCGCACGAGGCCCTGGCCTGACGGGGTTGAGAGCACTTCTGAGGGAGGGCCTGCTCATGCTCTGCATGCACCCGGCTGCCCTCTGCAAGAGCCTGGTCTGGGAGGGCCCTGCAGTGACCCAAGCCAACAGATTGCCACCCCGTGCGTAACGGCTGGGTGGATGGAGGGGCCCTCGGCAGTGTTACGTTCATGGCCATGTTCAGCCGAACCCCAGAAGACCACCTGTCAGGACGTTGTAGACAGCAGGTGTGCTTCGGTGAGGGGTGACCTGGGAGTTGAGTGAAGGGAAGCATCAGTCAGGGAGGCGAGCACCCCCTGGTTGCCGTGCTCCCCACAGCCCCGGAAGCCGAGTGAGAAACGGGGCCCTCGAAGCCTGGTGTCTGACGGGCCCTGCCTTCTCGTTGCAGCGGAGGCGAGCAGCCCGGCAGCAGCACTCCAGAAAAGTCGGCGTCCGCTACTATGAGACACACAATGTGAAAAACAGGAACCGGAACAAGAAGCAGACCAGTGCCTCAGAGGGACAGAAACAGAAGCACAGAAAGCCCAAGCACAATAAGCAGTAACGGGCCAGAGGTGTTTATTAAATTATACAAAACCACGCAGTTAGACAACGCTGTCCGTTTGCCTCTCACACACGGCTGCCACTTGTGAGACTGTAATGCACTTGTGCTGAGGCTTGACAGTGGAAGCCGTTCACCAGAGCAAGTGAGTGAAGATCAGGCTGCCCGGGACGCGTGAATTGGCCTCCCCAGTCCTCTGACAGAAAATGGGTGTGTGTGCGTGCAGTCTGGGCAGTGCGAAGTGTGGGGCGGTTTAATGCTGAGAGTTAGTGATTGGGGTGGAAACATACAAAACAGTGCAAAGAAAATCTCAGGGCATAGGGTTTGTGGCCAGGGCTACAGAAGCTTCAGGCGCTCGCTGAGTCTGCTAACAGATCCCTCTAGGATCTGAGGGCTTGACTGCTGAGGGTCGTGGAACTCGATTTCCGTGAGCCACGTTCTCTGCCGTTGAGATGACGGCAGAGACGGAGTCTTAGAATTCCAACACTGCAGCAAGGGCGAGACCCGGCCTTCCGTTTGGATTTGGTTGTAACTGCATGCTCAGC